GGCGGGGGGGGGGGTCGGGGGGGCCGGGGGGCTCGCCGGCAGGACCCGCCGCGTGGCTGATTCCCGAGCCAGGGCTCGCCGGCGATCCTCCTGCTCCAGCAGCTCCTGCTGGAGCCGCAGCGAGCGCAAGGCAGAGGAGGTGAAGGCGAAGGTTTCCTGGGCCATGGGCACCCCGGGAGGGCAGGGGGAGGCTGCAGGACTGGCGAGCTGCCTCCTGTGCCTGGGGGGGGGGTTATAAATAGGGCTGTGCCCCACGCACAAATGCTGAATCAAGAGCCCAAGCCAGCCTCCTGCTCCAGCAGCTCCTGCTGGAGCCGCAGCGAGCGCAAGGCAGAGGAGGTGAAGGCGAAGGTTTCCTGGGCCATGGGCACCCCGGGAGGGCAGGGGGAGGCTGCAGGACTGGCGAGCTGCCTCCTGTGCCTGGGGGGGGGGTTATAAATAGGGCTGTGCCCCACGCACAAATGCTGAATCAAGAGCCCAAGCCAGGCCACCCTATAAATAACTCCCCCGGGGTGGTAAACAGAGTCACGTTGGCACGGGGCTGCCAGGGAGTTTAACCTGTTGGTGGGTGCGAGATGGGGACGGGCTCGAGGGGCTGGGCTGGGCCCCGGGTACCCCCCGGCCCCGCAGGGCTGGGGCTGCACGAGGGCCCCGGGGGCAACGGCACCTCGTGCCTGGGGGAGCAGAGGGAGCGCGGGGACCCCCGCAGGGGAAGGGTTTGGGGTGCTGCAGCTTGGCAGAGAGGGGACAGAGGGGCACCGCTGGCTGCAGTGGCAGAGGGGACGGTGATACAGGAGCAGACAGGGCGAGGCAGGGACAGAACTGCCCTTTAATGCGGGTTTGGGAGCCGAGAGCGTCGGGCCTGCCTGGAGGAGTGGGGATAGGCGCCGCGGCCATGTCCACCCAGCGCTCCCCGGGTCCCCCCAGCTCTCGGCTCCAGAACAAACAGACAGACAGACAGAGGAACAGGCAGGCACCGGTGCCATCGCCTGCTTGCTTGGCGCCCTCGCCGGGCCAGTTCAGCCCAGACCGTGCCAGCAGTAACCGTCTCCCCGGCCCCAGGGCCGTGCTGCAGCCCCCCGAGGTCAGCAGCAGTCAGCCTGGGCCGGAGCGGAGAAGAAATCCTCAGGCAGCTCTCCCAGGAGCCCATCCAGGTCATCTGCACGGGCAGAGGGAGAATGAAACACGAGTTTTGCACACGTATAGAGGAGGAATCAACTCCACGTACTGGGACACGGTGAGATGAGACCCCCCCCTTGGCATTACAGGCGAGGGGAGACACTGCCCAGCCCCAGGACCCGTTTTCCGCAGGACATCGAGCTTTTCCTCCCCACCCAGCGCGGGTCCAACTCACCCATGTCACAGCTGTCAGCTCCCACCGGCTCTTCTCGCCCAGGCCCAGGGCTCTGCAGGTGCAGGGAGAAGCCCCCGGGAGACTGCTCTGTGCCGTGGCTGCCCGTCCTCCACCGTCCCCCGTCCCCAGGGGCAGGGAGGCCCCGGGGGGGCTGCGCAGGGTGGTCCTGGAGTAGCCCAGCCTGGGCAGGGACCTGCAAAACCCAGCAGAGATGAATCGTTGGGGGCCCACAGGAGGATTGATCTGTCCCTCCCAAGCTTCCCTCTTCCTCCCCAGGTGCTCTCGAGGGTCCATGCAGTCCAGACCCCCTGGTAACGCCCTCGGGGGGTCCCAGCATCCCTGTGCCTCCAGGGCCAGCAGCACCGTGCCCTCCCTCACCTCCCGCTGTTCCGGCAACGGCTGCGAGAAGCTGCCCTCGGGCTCCGGCGAGTAGATCTTGAGCAGGTTGTTGGGGGTGACGTTGAGGTAGTGGTTGCGGTGGGACGGGGAGAAGACGCTGACCTGTGAGGACAGAGCGGTGGGTCGGAGCCAGAGCTCCGGCTTGCGATGGCACCACCGGCCGCAGCCCAGGGAGGAGCTGGCAGAGCCCCTTCTCCCATTCCCGTGGGATCTGAGCCCCGCAGCTGGGCACGGTGACCATGGATTAGCAGCACCTATGGCAGAAACGACCCCAAATGCGTTGCTGCTGCCGGAGATCTGCCTCCGCGTCTCCTACCTGCTTCAGGAGCAGTACCGAGCCGGGCCTGAGCTCGCTCTGTCTCTCTTCCAGCAGCAGGCGATGTACCGTGCCCTGCATCTCTCCTGCGGACGAGGAGGGGACCCGTTAGCCGTGGGGAGCGATGGCCGGGAGCCCCAGCCCAACCCAGGCACGAGCATGGCTGCGCTCACCAGTCGGGTCCCTGAACACGGCACCAGCGTCCACGTTGGTCCTGGTCAGGGTCTTGATCATCACCGCCATGCTGGGGACCTTGTTCTTCGGGAGCTGCTTCAAGGCTGCCTGCACACGCAGACCCTCGTCACGCCGATGTCCCCGAGGGCAGCCCCGCAAGGCCACGGCACGTCTGCAGGCAGCCCGGACCAGCCCCCTCCCCACATTGATGCCCGGCCCTGGAAACAGCTCCAAGGGGCAAAGAGAGAGCCAGGAAGCCGAGTCCCCCCGGGCCGGTGCCCTCCCCTGGGGCTCCCCTCACCTTCCGCAGCACCATGACCACGCTGTAGGTCCTGAGGAAGCAGCCGGGGTCCCTCTCGTCCAGCCCGAGCTCTGTCTTCATGGCGAGCCAGGGGCCCTTCCCAAAATCCTCTTCTGTGGGTGGAGAGGAGCTGGGCAGTCCCTGGAGTCACAGGACAAGCATGGTCACCACCCCGGTGCAGAGCCAGTGTGTCTCGTGGCCCCAAGGGAAGCCCCAGGGACTCCCTCCCCTTCCAGCATCACCCTCTGAAAGCCACGGCCTCGGGGACTGCCCACAGCAGCGCTGCTGGGATTCACATCCAGCTCCACACCAGAGCAGGGGGTTACCTCTGTCCGTGGCTTCGCCACAGCCCCGTGAGCCGGAGTCTGGGGAGCAGAAACCAGGATCTCCTCCAAGAGCTTCGCAGCGTGCTTACAGGAGAGAGAGAGAGAGAGAGATGTCACAGGGCACCCAGGGGAGGCTCCGAGGCTGCCCCGGGGTTTCCCATCCCATCCCATCCCCTGCACCCACCTGCTGGGGCAGGATCCCAGCGGGCCCTGGGAACCGGCGAGTCTTCCTCTGAGGTGGGAGATGGGGTGCAGCCCCGGGTGCTTTGCTGGCCGCTGTCACCAGCTGCACAAGGTGGTTGGTGACCACCGGTGTCTGCAGGCTGCCCGGGGCTGGCCTGAGCGGCTGCCTCGGCAGGGGCTCCACGCAGCTTATCAAGGCCGGTGGGCTGGCAGGGGGCAGCCGGGGCGGGGGGCAGCTCTGCTGGGGAGCCTGCACTGGGGGGGTCCGGGGCACCTGCAGCCCCATGGAGGAGCTGCTCGCTCCCGGCTGGCCCGGGGGTGCTTGGAAAGGCCGGGGAGCTGGGCCCCGGGGGGCGGAGACCAGCTCCTCTCCCACCCGCAGCTTCTTGGGGGCCACCCATTCCTGGGGGCTCTCCTGCCCCGTGCGTATCCGTGGGGGCTTCTCCCACCGGCCTGGGGGCGGCCGGGCAGCACCGGCCCCCGCCGGCAGCTCAGGGCCCTCCAGCTCCATGCAGGCGGCCAGGAAGAGGTCGTTGTCCAGCTCATCCCGGGGGTCCGCTGCCCCGGCCGGGGGCTGCTCCCCCTGCCCAGCGAGGGGCCGCAGGCCGGGGGCTTTCCCGGAGCGGTGGCCAAGCTGGGGTCCCAGCGGGCGGAGGGGCTGTAGGCCGGGGGCTGAGGCTGGCACGCTGGGAGGGAGCGGGCCACCGGCGGGTGACAAAGGTCCGGGGACCACAAACTGGTTCTCAGCGTCCTCCACGGCGGAGAGGAAATCCTGTGGGAGGAGAGGCAGCGGTCAGCCAGCGTGTCCCCCCCCCCACCCCCCCCCGGGGGCCCAGCCACAGCACCCGAGGGGACAGGACTGCCTCCATCCCCATCCTGAGCCTCCTGCCCTGCTGGCACAGCCCTGCTGCGCCCCACTCCCTGCCCGTCC